GCCCTTTCAGCCGTGGGGGCGTTATAATGTGTCGGTCAATCCCACTATTCGTTGGTAAAAGAGTAGGTGGCGGGTGGTGATGACTAACTGCCTTCCCTCTAGTCTTACACGGCTAGCGCAGATAGCCCTCGTATAGCTTTGCGCAAAATCCATGAATTTTTGAATCATGGCTCAAATAAGATGTACAATTTTTTATAATTTTGCCGGATGTAGCAAAGTAATACATTTTAACTAATTAATTAAAATTTATTTTTAAGTGCTCATTTAGATTTTGATGGTTAATAAAGGATAGAAATTTCACATTTGTTAAGAATAACGGGTAAGGTTGTAGCGATCAGATTTCGTTTTTTGTCATGGTTAGTGGTCTATACTATCACTTAAGTCACTGAAGATATCACTAGATAATTATGTTTTAAGTAATCGACCCTAGTTGAGTTCATCAATGGAAAGAATGTGTAAATACCCGAGATCTGAGCGTTCTTAAAGCACGCTGAAGTTTTTTCACAATATTTATCAAATAATACACATTTATAATTCAAAAAAATAAAATTTTATTTTAGTGTAGTTTTCTCGACGTTTTACCATTACGGTTTCATCAGGAAAACACCACTACTGTGTTTTTTAATTAAGCTTACATAAGAAAACAAATGTAATATGACTGATATTACATCGGAATAAGACTGATTATAATTTTTAACAAATCTTTCTTGACTAGCCCTATTCGGTTCCTCAGTGAGTAGAATATAATAGTATATCCACGGCACAATTCCGAATGTGTAGAATACCAGTGTTCATCAGGTCTGCTGGGCATGCAACACAATTACTAATCTGTAGATCAGTCTTCGCCGGCATATGTGCCATATGCCATATGAACCGATATCCCATAAACGAGTTTTATAGATAGCATTTCAACCGAAGTTTTACGTGTTACCTACCCAACCTGATGAGTTCTAGAACTGAGCGAAATATTTCGTTGGCAGCGGAATTTGGTCGGGATGATATACGTTCGTAATATTGAACAATGGTATAGGTAGGGCCAGTAAATAAAGTTTTGTTTAAAGAAAATTATTAGAGTTATTATGATGTAATATCACACAAACTACCAATCGACAGACCACACATCTTTAGATATGGCGTTATATACCATATTAAATGATATCTCTTTACAATACAAAACTCTTTAAGAAGTCGGGCCTTTCCTTAAAGATGGTTGAAAATCACTCGAAAGTAAACTTTTCAGATCTGTATTTATCTTGGATATATCATGTACAAATTGCAGTGTTTAAAATATTAAGCAAAGAAACAGAAAGAGAACTGTACGTGAAGGTCGGTGTGATACTGCTTTAAAAGTTCTGTAGGAAAACATTGTATAAAAACCCATGAGGTACTGACTAAACGAAATATTTCCATAGAGATTCTCAAACACACTACATATTTCTTGGAACGGAAATACACAAAAACCCACATTCATTCATCGGCAAGTCTGAATACTTATAACGCTAAATATCTGGTTAAATCTGATTATGATAACCAGTGTGATGCCTAAATGCGGACATTTCAGTTCAGTAAGTTTGGTTTGAACTTTGCGCAAAGCTGCACGAGGGCTATCTGCACTAGCCGTCCCTAATTTAGCAGTGAAAGACTAGAGGGAAGACAGCTAGTCATCACTACCCACCGCCAACGAATAGTGGGATTGACCGTCACATTATAACACCCCCACTGCTGAAAGAGCAAGCATGTTAGGTGGGACGGAGATTCGAATCCGTGACCATCAGATTGCGAATCAAGCGCCCTAACCACCTGGCTATACCGAGCCTCAGTTCAATAAGACTTTGTACGTATGGATGTGAGTGCACATTCAAATTTGTATATTTGTAAAGAGAAATAATACATTAATTTCTTATTACCCTCAGACTTTTCCACTTTTATCTCCGGTTTGATAACACCACTTTCTCTCAATGAGCCCATCAACTGAAACCGGAAGGAGGAGACATCCTGTCTCAATTCGTTGATGTCGTCTTCCGTTACAGACTGGTTTTCAGCATTTCGTTGCTGCGCAGTAACATATCTCCAAACAAGGTTTTTCATAACAGACTAGAATAAATATTATGAACATATGCAATTTAAATAACTTATTTTAATCTTAACAGTATCTGCATCTTGAACGTAGTACATGTGTTTCATCTAAATACAATACAACGAAAACAACAATTTCATATATTTAAGGAGTTTGTGACTTGACTGCACATTTTTTTATATTATACATCAGCAAAATAATGTGAACTTTATAAAACAATTATATACAAAAATAAAGCTTACTACTCTATAAGTTTCTGCATTAATATCACACAGTTATCAAAGAAAGATTGAAATATAACTAAAGTTATAATGCCAAAAGAAAATCAGCTTGCCAGTGGTGATGAGTGTATCTTTGGGTGTATTAATAGTACAATAATTATGGTAATTCTTTTGGTACAAGTGCTAGCAAAAGCAATCATGCCATGATATTTGTTCTACTTTTCTAAACATTCATCTTTTAAATGAAAATATCAGCTCTGGGGGTTAAGACACCAACAATTTCAATGGGTGCAAGCAAACGATGTACCTTTTACTAAGAAATAATATTGTCAATTTCACTTAACACACTTAAATTCATTCCACAAAGACACATTTTCTAATAAAGATGTGACAAAAATTATAAAAGCTTTTAAAATTACATTCGTTGAGTTAGTCACAAAATACTAGCTGTGATAATAAAAACTATTCGTTTAAGAAGATATGTAAAGAAAAAGTTATATATTCACTATTATAAGAATATATCATGGTTAGCAGTAGCTTTACCCTGAACAAATGATCCTAAATGTTAAATCGTGTTGACGTTATAAAAAAGTTTGAGACATAACATAATGCATGTATATAGATGGTTGAGTACGTCATGTTAAAACGATTTTGGATCCTTGTCACGTCTGGCCATGCTCTATCTGACGATCGTACATCCTGACAATAGTCTCCAGCATGGTTTCCATTGCAAAAGGCTCCATCGTAAGGTTGTCGAGTCCAAAGCACACAACTCCTCTATGGAAGCTATTCATAATTCATCTAGTATACAAAAATGACGGTTTCTCATCGCTCGTTTCAACATTCGAATTGCACAGAAATCCATAATCGCGAATCCTGGAACTTGATCAGTATGTCTTCATATGGGATAACAATGATACCCAATTCATTCTCCAGCTGCTTGAGATACGCGATGGTTGAACGAGGCGTATGACTGTAAGCCTTATCTTGCTGAACCAATACCCTTTTGGCATCGTTTTCACACGAAGATCTTTGATTATATTACATATTGTTGTCTGAGACACAGTATGGCTTTTGTCATCGACCTTTGTGTTCGTGAATTCTTACTTTTTTTACATGATGCTGCATTTTTTTACCGCAGCAGGGGTAAGACTTGTTCCAAGTCTGTTTCTGGATGGTACTGGTCCCCAGTTAAACCATGGTCCTTTACAAGGAATATCTCCGTTATGGAAGTTCTAAGTCCCCGACTTGGACACATCTCTATGATCTTAGCTTATAATTAATTTGCGTCGGAAACAGGGCTGTCATGCCCTTCTCAAAAGCCATCAGATTTCTGTGGCGTCAATGTCAAAATTTAGTTCTGATACATTTCACTCCCCCGCGACTATATATCAGTTATGGGTGTCACGTGACTTGTTAACTTGCATATTCAACGTCGATTTAGTATAACAAACTCAACCTTATATAAATATATGCATAGATATTAATGTAGGCAGATTTTGTTAAACAAGACCGATGTCTGTAGGTTTACTTT